CCGGCCCCACCACTGGCTAGGCTGTGACCCCAGGCAGGTTCTTTAACCAGTTTCTCAGAGCCAGGGGATGCACATCTACAGAACAAGGATAATAAGAGAACCCGTTCTGGCCCTGAATCAAGGCCAGCAGCTTCCTGACGCTGTTGGGTTTCAAGCAGGAGCCTAAAGAGATGTCTTTCTATGGTCTCTTGGCCACTTCAGAACTTGGGCAGTGAAATGGTCAATTCATTAGAAAGAAACAGCTTGAAGCAACCCCCACCCCACCCCACCGTGAGCAACTGTGAGTGTGGCGGGCTGCAACAGCCCAGGACAGGAGCCCAGGGGTTTACTGGGACCTGTGCCATGCTGGGACCTGCAGTGCCAGGAATCAAGCAATCCCCCTCCCCTGCCTGTTTTGTTTTGTTGAACTTCAACATACATAGAAGTATGGACAGCTACTTGGAAGAGAACTAGAGACTCTATGACAGCCATTAGTGACTTCCCTATTGTCTGGTTTTGAAGACCCAAAATGCTTTCCTCATTCTGTTCGGATCAGTTTTACACTATGTTGTTTTGATGAATTCTCTATATTCGAAGACATGGACAACTATTTGGAAGAAAACAAGAGACAATATGATAGTGAAGATCTCAGGTCGTCTAGCGTTGAAATTTATCTCTTACATTGCTTTCTTATGTCCTATTTTGTTCTGTTTACTTTTACCCCCTTTAAAATAAAAATAAATGTCATTAAAAAAAATAAGAGAATCATGTTACAGGGCCGTGGTAAGGACAGAGTTCCCAGAGTCCGATGCTGACCAGCGCCTGGTGTGTGGCACAGGTCCAATACACACGCGATCTGCTCTTCCAGGTCACTCAGCAGGGCGGCAGACGGTGCCTGGATGTGAGGCACTTTAGCAGAAACACCTGTCCCCCCAGCCTCGGCGCTCAGCACACACGGGCGGCAGCAGCTTTCCCCTGACCGGCTGAAGGGCGCAGTGGCCATGAGCCGCGGCTGAAGGAGGCGATGCGGTGGTGATCAGACGTGAGGCTTAAATGTCAAGAGGACCAGCTCAGCAAACTCCTGACTCCAGCACCCGATTAGGGAAACTGTGGGATCGCAGACGCAGGCTGGGGGGTCATAGAAACCAGTCTGAGGCACTGTATGCATTCTTTCGTCAGTGTTTAAGTTATCTTCAACCAAACTTTAAAATTAAGTATACTAAGTATACTAACATACCAAGTATGTAAAATTACACAGATTACTGCACTCAAATGCTTCCAAAACTAGAAACCCACACACAGCGTAAGTGACACAATGACTTCACGGGCGTATTCTGACTGACAGCAGCAGTCTGCTCAGCCTCCTTCTCTTTCTCCATTTCCCTGTGGACTGTGAAGGTGCCCTGGGCCAGCACTGCCCAGATCACTCGTACTTAGTCAAACTTGCCAAAGTACTAAAGGCTACTGTGTTTCACGGCCACTCAACGACTACAGTCCTTGGCTTGGTGATATACTCTGTGAATTTATAAATCCACATGATAAAAATGTGTATCTTAAATGTAAATTTCCATAGTACCACTAATAATTTTTTCTAGTATGGGACCAGGGCTTTCACACTGAGTCACCTCCCCAGCTCCATTTTTGAGGTGGGATCTTGCTAAGTTGCTAAACTGCTGAGGTGGGCTTGAAGAGGTGATCTTCTTGCTTCAGCCTCCCAGAGTGCCAGGGTTATAGGCACATGCCAACACCCCCAGCGAAAAGATTCTTAGAAGTCTTAGAATTTAGGACTAAATGACTTAACAGAACCCAGTTTAAAATGGAAGCTAAAACATCTGAATGGTTCTTTCAATCAGACAAAAGTCTCAATTTGGCTTACAGCCTTGATAGTACCTGCTCAAAGGAAAGGGCAGGGAAAAAACCAGAAGAATGTGAGGAAAGTGAGGTTAAAAGTGGTCTCTGAGGCTGGTGTGCAATCCTCCTGCCTCAGCCTCCCAAGGGCTGGGATCACTGATGTGTGTCACTGTGCTCAGCCTCTGACACCTGAAGTCTATGAAAACACCTCCTACACTTGGGAGCCTGCTCTGAACTCACAGCAGAAAGAATGGAACAACAGAGAGCTGGTTTCTCACTTCTTGGACTCTTGCAGGCAATGAGGGGAAACAGCCAGCTTCCTGAGGAGCCGGTGCCTGACAGGGGCGGCAGCTCCCCACAGGCCAGGTTTGCTCACTCTGCGCAGGGCGCGTGGGCCTTCACTCAGGGCTGAGCCCTTGAGGGGCTGCTCCCAAGGCACACCTTCCCCAGAGACACATGACACAGAACAGCGATTGGAACTTTAGAAAAGGACTTGAATTTAAAGGTGGAAGTTTATTCTTCATCCTCTGGGAGGAGGGCTTGGGGTCCTGGATTCAAGTAAGCACACCAAAGACAAACTTCTTTTTTGAGAATCTGCCTGGGTTCAGCCCCACTTTCGTGGCTTGGAGGCAGGATGGGGTGGTAGCGAACAATTCTGTGAAAGCACACTGATTTTGCCCCATGGGTAGAATTCCCCCAGCGAGAGACAAGTTCCCCCAGCAGACAGCTCCAAAAAACGGCCATTACCTGCCCCTCAGCAGTGTTTCTGAGAATTAAATGATAGTATCCCTCCCCCTTAACATACTACTAGGCACAAAGGCCCTTGTAAGGTCCATCATTTCAACAATGAAAATAAGTTTCCAAAGAAATCGCAGACCTTTACAATAGCTGCCACTCACTGAAATGCGTAAGAGCTGCTCACAACATAATGCTGAATATCTGCCCTCTAAAAAAGATGTATCACTTTAGAGGCTTCTGTGGCAACACGCAATTTCAAAGCTCTCCAATGCGCGACCATCAACCTAGTACATTTTGTCAGCTTAGACATCTCCTGTGTGCGTACGAGCTGAATTTAATCATCTCATCTACTAAATACAACCTTCCTGCCCTCTTCTGAGTGACATGTTGCCAGAGCTGGTATCTCCTCATTTGTCTTCCTCTCCATCTAAGTGCTTTTTTATGGGTTTAGGATTCCTGGTTCTTGGTCCTGGCTGTCAAAGCGTGTTCATCAGAGCCCAAGAGTCTTGAAACTGAAGGATCAGGGGACCCAAGTGTTAGGAGGTGGTCTTCGTGACTGACAGCCAATGTCAGTAAGAACTCAGACAGCAAAAAGCAGTGTGGAATGGCACAGCTCTGCCACTGAGGATGTCTGAGCGGTGGGCCGAAGCTGCCTGAGCCACACAGAGTGAAGAGGAGCAGTCCAGAGCCGCAAATAAAACATACAGATATAGTTACTGCGTAGAAGGAACAAGATTTCCCGTATTTTTAATATGTAGTATTGTAACACAGGCGTATCTAGTCTGTGGGCTGCGGGCTGGATACGTCTGGCAGATGAACTATTCTACTTGAAAAGATAAATGATTAGGAGACTCAAGCAGGTGCTATCAGGTGTGATGAGAGTGAAGAAACCTGGTTTACAAAAATACCAAAGCACAGCTTCAAACAAGACATAGCTCTGCCTCGGAACGCTACCAGCAGAGCTACCAAGTTCACCTGCAGTCATTGTCACCACAAAAGCAAAATATGGGCAGAGGAAGCATTTTCATGTGTTTCAGCGCAGGCCCGCCTAGCAGAGATGACCAATTTGAGGGAAGACACACATGGTGACATACCAAGCACACGGGCGGGACCCGGAGCTCTCGGCTCAGCGGGCAGACATCGCACCATTATCTGCAGACTCGGGGGCTCCACGTCTGGTCCAACACTGGGATAAGATAGGACAAGCGCACTGAGGTGGGTGGTGAACGAGAGCACGTTCCTTGATCAGAACTGTATTGATAATGCAAAGGTAATTTTTTTAGTACAGTGGTACTTACCTCAGAATTCTGGTCTGTTGCTAAAACTAAAAATACCAGGAATTATTTTAGTGGATAGGTATTTCTTTGCTTTAATTATGTAATAAATTTGTGGCATTCCCTATTTCTTGGCTGCAAGCATTCAGAAATAGATGACAAAGTGTTTTGAACACCTTCTCACTGTGCTTAGCTTCTTTTGTTTCGGTGATCCTGGCGGTGGTGTGATTTTGAATAGCCTAATATATAATAACATTCTGTGCCAGAAAAGCTTTTAGCATGTACATGTAATGCTTTCATTTAAAAATTATCTACAGAGAAAGACAGAACGTATTTCCACATCCTAGAAGCTGAAATTAGTATCTTCTGTCTCAGCCGCGCCCCTCAGTCCCCTCTAGCTGGCAGTGCCATTTGTGCTGACCATCCACACAGGCCTGCGGAGTGGGCAGGAAAACTGGGGGCAAAGCTGGCTTTGACAAGCTCATAATCTGATTACGGGAGCTAGTTCTCGAAATCCTTGACAGCTATTTAATTTTCAATTCTTTCAAAAGCAAACAAAAGAAACATTAATCATGATTCTCTTCATTTCTCTTATCAGTTACCATTAGGGTAAAATAAGCTAACGATGAAAGCTGATCTCACTACAAACAACGATGTTCTCCTTTGCTAACAGGTAGGAATGTGCAGCGCGATCATCTGTTAAAGAAGACAGCTTCGTTCTTCAACGACGTCACACAAAGAACTTCAGCTGTTTATTTCTGTGACTGACCTTTTTTCCTGTCATATCATTCACTATGGATCTGTATTACCGCAGCTCCTCACAGATACAGTAAGGACAGAGTCTTCATTTAGGAAACATTCCTTTCTTTCTTTCTTTTTTTTTAAAGACTCTTATTGGCTTTTTTTTCCTTTTTTATCAGTACCGGGATCAAATTCATGACCACACACTTGTAAGGCAGGCGCTTACGCCACTGAGCTAAATCCCCAGCCCTAGGAAACATTTCTTAATGTGACATTTTAAAAGTTAACACTTAAAAAAGAGAAGCCCTTTTTATCCCTCACCCCCTATTTCTACTGTGAATAATATGGTTGACTACAAGTTAAGTCTATAAATAAATTTATCCTTTCTTCTCAAGAAAAGACACTTAAGATACTTGATAGAATTTTAGGCCAAAAAATTTTATTGAAGTTGGGCATGGTGGTGCATACCTGTTATCCCAGCATTTGGGAGGCTGAGGCAGGAGGATTGCTGTGAGTTCACGGTCAGCCTCGGCTAGGGACTGAACTGCATATTGAGACTCTGTCTCCAAAAACAATTTTTGTTTTTACAGAGGAAAATTAAAGTACCAGTCATTTTACTCCCATGTTAACAGGAGTGTTAACAGGGAGGCCAAGCATCCCGTAGACTGCTGTTTGCGCAGAGAGGCCTGTGGGGTGCTCCATCTGCGTGGGCTGCAACCTCTTTAATCATTCTTTTCTTCTCCTTGATAATGCCTGTATTCCGGCTTCAGCTCCCATGTGTTTTTGTGGATGCCTTTTACATTCTGAATACCAATTTCTTTCAAGATTTCCTTCAGGTATCCCTAAAAACAAAAATAAAAATTCAACAGATAAGATCATGAAGGCAGAAAACAAAATTTAAAATGAGACACACCAAAGCCCATTTAATAGCAATTATGATGCTAAAAGCTCATAATTGCTAAAGCTCATAGCCTAAATTGCTAAAAACTTCTAAGAAGTTCAGTAAACTACCTAAATTCTACATGGAAATATACAATCTCATTAAATAAATGATCATTTGCATCAAAGGGGTTGTGATGCCAACAATTTGAAAGTTAAAAAAAGGCCACAGGAAAAACAGAAATGACTGGTGCTCAATGTTTATTAACATGATCTAGCATACCAAGAGTAATTTGCTGTTGAGTTCCACAGGTTTAAGGACTCAGCTCACAATCAGACTGGAGCCAGAAATTTCAGCAGTGGTAGTGTGTATTTTTGGGGTGGGAAGGCAGCATTCACTGACGTAAGCACATGACAGGTACCTAGAAACCTCAGGTCTGAGATGTCTCACAGTTTTTTATCACACCATTCATTTTTCCTATAAGTTGTTATTTGTGTTTACTATTATTTGGACATTGCCTAAGCTTGCCATAGACAGGAATAAGCAGTGATAAGACATGCTAAGAACCTCCAGGTTGCAGCTTGTTTGCTCGGCTCCTGTTATGGTTTGTGTCTGGATGGCCCCTCAAAGCCTGATGCAGCCATGGCCGGGGGTGTTGTTCAGAGGTGGTTGAATCTAAGCTAGACTCTGTGATTGATTCATGGCCCAATGCTGGGATTAAGGGTGTGAGTGCTACACTCAGCCCAGGGTGGGTAGCCTGCATTACAATCAAAGGACAGAACAAGGTTTGTTCTCTTTCTTCTCTGTTGTTGCTTTTGGGGTCTTGCACCATGACCTGCCCCACTCTACCTTGGAACCAGATGATTATGGACTGAAACCTGTAAAAACTGTGAGCTAAATAAACCTCCCCTTCTACTTGGGTGTCAGGTATTTTGTAGCAGCAACAAGAAAAGTAACTAAGACAGCTCCCCAGAGAGGAGAGTCCGTATTATGGCATTTTTGATCTTGAAAATTCACTAAATGTGAAATCACTACTAGAGTTCTGGAAGGGATGGCTGTGTTAAATACAATACGAAGCTCTACCTCTGCTCGCCAGTACTCAAGGACTAAAGCATCCACTATAAACTGACCAATGCAAAGTACAGTGCAGGACTTCTTTCTTGGAGGAGAAAAGAGTTAATTCCTAAAAGTAGCACTTTTTCCCTACAGAACAAACTAATGAAACAATTTTTGAGTGTGTTACTCAAAAAACTAATTATAGTATTAAGATGACTAATCTCACTGATGGAAGATGTAATTTTTTAATTAACTGAAATGCACTAATTAGAAAAATGCTTAAAAAGCTCTTCCCTGGCAATATTTAAGGCAGTGCTTCATACGGGTGAATCAAGACTTCCTGTATCAGAACGTGATGTGATGCTACAATAAGCCTCACTTGGGGCCAGGAATCCTCATTGTGACAAGTCCTGACATGACTCATGTAACTAGTCCCACCACACCTCCTTTCAGGAATTCCAGGTTTACTACTTTAGATCCCAGCAGTGTGAGCCTCACGACTGTGGAACATTGTGTATTATCAGTATTACCTAATGGTGTCTCACTCTGATTGGGGTAATGCTGTATAACCCCAAAGTCCTTTTAGTTAGTCATCTAGAAATACAAAGTTTAAGGCTGGGCATCACAGTTCACTGGGACAGGGCTTGATTAGCATGTGCAAGGTCTAGGACTTGAACCATAGTATCACTACAAAAAGAAAAAAGGAGAAATATTACAGCTGATCAGCACCAGGACTACACAAAGGCTGTTTAGAAGGCCTCGGATGGCTTAGCTCTCTCTCGGGCAGCCTTCCCAGTCCAGCAGCCAGGCCCCAGCAGGTGGCAGCAATGAGTCAAGTGAGCCCTGGGCTTCCCAGGGGGCCGGCCGGCCTGCCTGCCTCCCACACCTTCTGCAGTGGGCTTCACTGAAGGATCCCTCGGAACCAGTGAGCATAACGGCTCAGGCATCCAGGTAATATGAATGTCTGCCATCTGTTACTTTAGATTACATTTAAAAGTTGGACACTGTACAGAAGCTACTTTCTAATTAAACTGAATTCACAAATGGAAAGCGGGTTTGGCACAAACAATTCTGTTTTAGGTGCCAACAATGACATCTTCGTAAAATTCCAAAGAATAGCTTATTGTGAAGCTGGCTAAGATCCTGTTGCACACACAGTCACACTATTGTGGATGCACTGCAAGGGGTCCAAAATGAAAAGAGCAATTGCTATGAGCATTTCGGTGCCCTGAGAGGAAAGACACTCTGACACCACCTCATGTGACTGTTTACAATCTGGATAGAGAAGATGAAAAGACCAAACAGGGTTAAAAACAAAATATTAAAGTCCCTCTTTTGTATTTTGATACAGCATCTCAGTAAGAGCCCAGGCTGTCTTGAACTTGGGACACTGAGTGTTAGGAATGCAGGCATGTCACAGTACACCTGGGCTAAGACAGTCTCAGTGTGTAACTGAGCTGCTGTCACATGCAGTCAGTCCACTGTCACCCTGGCAGTCTAGCACAGTATTTGTATACGAACATGCCACTCTGTTCCTTGTAACAGGAAGAAGGGGTGAGATAATCACAGCCTGTTGACTTGTCGGGTTAACAAAACAGGATTAGGAGCAACATCTAAACTACAGTACAGATTTGGTTCGGGGAGGTTTTCAAATGTCCTGGATTTTAGGATGCTTCAGATCAGAATCGCAGACCATTTTACTCTAACCAAACTAACTGGCTTGGTAGGGAAGTAGGCACAAAGCATTAGAAGAAAAACTAGGAGTGATGATAGGGAAACAAGGTAAAAAAAATCTCTGAAGACAATAAGATGTGGTCACATCTGTAAGAAGTTTCAGAGCTTCTCCGCTGGCCTACAACCGAGGCTCAAATCCCTTTAAAGGTACCCACTCTCTCCTGCTTTCTCCTCCGGCCCCTTACGGCACTCCCCTTTACACACACTTGCCAATTCTCTCTCTGCATGCTTCTAGGATTTTACACTCTTTCCCCAAATACAGTTCTCTTTCATTGTAATGTTTATCTCCTCCCCTCAGATCTGAACCTTAGTGGACACGGTGGCACATGTCATTAATCGAAGCAATTGGTGGTGACGGGGGACTAAAGCAGGAGCATCTTGAGTTCAAGAATAATGTGGGCTAGGCTCTGATGGATTCACAGCTGAATTCTATGAGAAATATAGAGAAGATTTAAAGCCAATACTCCTCAAACTCTTTAATGAAATTGAAAGGGAGGTAGTTCTCCCTAACTTATTCAGAGGCAAGAATTACATGGATACCAAAACCAGAGAAAGATCCAGCCAAAAAAGAACCACAAGCCAATCTCCCTAATAAAAACAGATGCAAAAATCCACAATAAAATACTAGCAAACAGAATGGAGCAAGTCATTAAGAAGATTGTATACCATGATGAATAGGGATTCATCGAGGAATGCAGGAATGGTTCAACATACACAAATCAATAAATGCAATGCACCGTATCAGTAGAGAAAGACAAAAATCACATATCATCTCAATAGATGCATAAAAAGCTCTTGATAAAGTCCGATACTCAATTGTGATAAAAACCCTACGGGAAATTGGATGGTCTTTACTTCAATCTGATAACAGCCATCTATGACAAACCAACTGCTTAACATCATTCTAAATGGACAAAAACTAAAAGCTTTCACTCTAAAATCAGGAACAAGACAATGATGTCCATTATTCCAATTCCTATTCAATATAGTTCTGGAAACACTAGCTCAAGTAATTAGAAGAGACAGAAATAAAAGGAATAAAAATAGGAAAGGAAGAAGTTAAATTATCATTATTTGCAGATGACACAATATTCTACATAGAAGATTCCAAACTCCACTTCAGGATTTAATAAGTAAAATTCAGGAGCGTAGCAGGATATAATACTAAAAAATCTACAGCATTTCTGTAGACAAACATCAAACTCACTGAGAAATTAAGAAAACAATACCCTTCACAATAGCACCCCCCCAAAAAAGAAATACTCAGGAATCAATCTAACAAAAAGAAGTAACAGATTTATACACTGGAAATTACAATGCTCTGAAAAAGGAGATTGAAGAGGGTTATCAGCAAAGACATCCCTTGCTCATGAATAGGAAAAATTAACATTGTGAAAATGGCCATACTCCCAAAACTGTTACACACATTTAATGCAATCTTGATCAAAATACCATTACCATAGCTCACAGATCTAAAGAAAACATTCCTAAAATTCACCTGGAAACAGAAGAGATCTAGAATAGCAAAGGCGGTCCTTGGCAAAAAAGGCAAGGCAGGGGGCATCACAATCCCTGACTTAGAATTTTACTACAAAGATACTGTGATAAAATTAGCATGGTACTGGCAAACCAAACCAAACCAAATCCAACCCAACCCAAGCTTCCCCCCAAAAACAGATACGAAGATCAGTGGAAGAGATCAGAAGATGAAGACACAACTATAAACATACTCAGCCATCTTATCTTTGACAAAGGGGTCAAACACGTTCACTGGAAGAAAGATAGCCTCTTTAATCAATGGTGCTAGAAAAACTGGCTTTCCATTTGCTGAAGACTAAAACAGACCCATACCTATCACCATGCAGTAAACTAAAATCAAAATACATTAAAGATATAAATGTTAAAACAGAAACACCAAATCTACCGGAAGACAAAGTACGTTGAAATCTTAAAGACAGGTTAGGCAAGAGTTCATGAGAAAAAATCCAAACTTCACAGGAAATACTTAAAAATCAGATCCCTCAAATTCAAAGACCTAATGCAAAAACGGACATTTGAGATGGATACACTGCTCAGATAAAGAAATACAAACAGCAAATAAATACATGAAAAAATGTTCAGCATCACTAGTCATTTGAGAGATGCAAATTAAAACACCAGTGAGATTTTACC